GGAGAAGTGTTCGCCATCAATAGAAATTATGTCTTCAAAATATCCTACAGGCTCTACTTCATTTCTTCCGAATCCTGAAAAGCACAGCGTAGATTTAGTTAATTTCGGTGAGCCAATCCTTTTATACGCGTTCTCGCTAATAATGTTAACTTGACTGCCCGTATCAATTAGAGCATTCAATTTTTCATTCCGTAACTCAATCATCTTGTACATCCTTCTCGGCGCGTTCAAATTGCTTACTGACTCGGTCTTTGTTGATACTCCTTCTTCTTTCTTCCCTTTTACTTTCTCTTTTTTACATTCAAAAGCCTTGTGACCAAACTCATTGCAGTTGAAACATTTCACGCCTTTGCTCTTAGATTCACACTCAGTCGATCTGTGGCCTAATTCACCGCAATTGTAGCAGCGTACCTCTTCTTTCTCTTTTGACTTCGTTTTTTTATTTGCAGGTGCATTAGGATTTACTGACGACCGGAATCCTAGCTTTCATTTTTTCATTCATTTTTTCGTACACCTTTAACTTTTCCTTAAACTCCTTTGCATTTTTTGCTCCGTACAAAATACTTTTATTGGCCGTATTATCATCTATACCATCTATAACGTAATGATATAATGCCTCGTTTTCGATGTCACCTCTACTAGCTATTTCTTTCAAAGCTAGATAATAAGCCTGTACCGATTCATCCTTCTTCATTCTTCTCTTACTTAGCGCCTTGTGTAATTCAGCACTATTCATTTTATGGCTGAATTCATCCTTAAGAGCTTTCTTTAACTTCTTCCATGATGTCAACCCTCTTTCACTTTAAATGAATAATTTCGCTAATCCCTTCAGCGATTTTTTTGCAAATATCAACTTTTGTATGTCTGACCAACCAAACAATTCGGCTGATTCCTCGATATCCATTATCCAGCGTTCCACCGGGTATTTGTCATCTCCGTCGTAATGTCTTATAGAATCTTCCACATCTCTGAACGTCATAGTAAATTTAGCTTTAGTCGATCTGACAGCTGCTCCGACTAACCTATCCTCTTCATTTTCGCCCTCTTCATCTTCGTCCTCTTCGTCTTCGCCCTCTTCGTCTTTGTTTCCTCTTTCGTCTTTTTTCTTTTGCCGTCCTTTGTCTTCCTCGTCTTCACTCGATTCCTTATTTTGCACGTCGTCAACCTCTGCATTTTCTTCTCTATTCGATTCGCTAATGGCATTGAGCGAATTAAGGTTAATCAGGGCATTACATATGCGCTGGCTTAATTCCCTTTTTGTTCCAGCATACTCGACCGCTAAAACATTACACACCGATACTAAGTCTGCCCAGCTAAGGTTAGCTTCTACGTACGCAATCTTTGTTTTGTACTCATCCGAATCTGTAGCGAATGGGAAGCCTATGAATTCTCGTAGCCGTTTCCGATTACTTCTATCACCATCTTGCTCAAAAACGAATCTGTGTAGCGCTTGCACCGCCTTTTTCGAGCTCGTCTTGAGATTGTTTGCTATTATCTTAACCTGACCAAGTCTTTCCATCGCTACGATTCTAATATTAATCCCCACCTGGTGTAATGTGCTCTGCTATCGGTATCGTACCGCTGAGATCGTCTTTCTCCTTGAATACAGACTTTGCAAGGTCTTCTCGAATCAATTCCTTCATCGTTGTCGTCCTTTTGCCCTCCGTGTGTATAATCTCTTTCACAGAGTACTGCTCTTCTTAACACCTATACTCGAATTTATTCCGGCTGAGTCCCCAAATACTGTAGGGTAGTACTTGCTCGTTAAATACTGATTACAAATATTTATTCAAGTAAAACCAAAATACATGTGTGTGTTCATCGAAACTTATTCTCGACTGACTCTTACTCGTGCCCGCTTCTTGCGCGCCCTCTCTTAAGTCTTTTTTTCGATACCAAATCGATAATGTAGATCGCGGTGGAGCCGTCGACCCTACAACTCGGCCATTCCTGATAGGTCATCTGTCCCAGATGAGGCAAAATCATTTTCCTCCGCCCATCTTTTCAAGTACTCTGCGCACGTAGTCGTCCTCAAAGGTCCCTCCTGATCTCCTTCTTTTATAACGTCATAGGTGTCGTTGGGTTTGACTTTGGTAATGCGGTATGGGTCGCATACATGGAAGATAATTCGATTTCAGCTTTAAACCTGGTCTAAACTGCGTGCGTTTAATGGCTACTAAATCGTTGAGCCTGTATTTATTAGGATGTTTACGGCGTAGATTATATTGCCTTCGATTTTCTTGCTGGACCTTTTCAATTTGTCTTTTCGCTTCATGTCTTAAGTGCTGTCGTGAATCTTCGAAATCATTCAGCATCTCCTC